GAGTGGGAACTTCCCAGAACATTGTATTGTGCCACGCCCAACAGAAATAACCCAGGTGGGCGACTTTAAAATCAGGATCTCCTCCGTAGCTAATAGCAATTCCCACCTTAGAGTTTACAAAGACTTATGGGTAGAAAAGCCACACTAAGTAATTTACTACACCGCAACAGGCTTTTAAAAAATGAACCAGCTAAGGATAAAAATCAGCTTTTTGCATTGGAAAAATAATTTATGTTCATGATAATAAGTTCCAGCAGTAGCAAAGGGTACGCATTGAAACGTAAGCCTTCCTCCCACCTAAAACTCCCTCTCCTTTTCTCCAGAGACAACTTCCACTAATAGTTCTTGTGTACTTCTTCAGAAATATTATTTACTTCTTTCATTACCCCTTTCCTCCCTCCGTTCTACCTAATACCTTGCTTTTCCACCCAACAGTATCACTTGGAGATTGTTGAATAATACCAATTAGACATCTACCTCATTACATTGAAGGACGGTATATTCCCTTGTATAAAGAGACCATCACTTATTTAAGTTGAATTGAATGATGCTAATTGTGTGTAGACTTTTGCAAATGGTATTGCAATAATGGTCCCTGTTGTAATGTCCTTAAGCATTTGTAGGCAATATCTGTAGAATGTGTTTTAGAGTCTGCCAGCAATCAAGAAGATGATAGAGGACTGGACAATGTTTGGCTCTGAGTTACGTAAGGTCACCGTGGGTTGAAGCAAACTCAACAGGAACTAACAATACTATCTATAGATGCTTTCCTATATGTGAGATTACTGGCCCAAGTGGTTTGTGTTTGGCTTAGTGCCTAAGGCACTTGACTGCTAACCAGAAGGCTGATGGTTCAAACCCACCAGCCACTCCTTGGAAGGAAGGTTGGGCAATCTGCTTCCATAGTGATACCACCTTGGAAACCCAAGGAGGGGTCACTATGAGTCAGGTCAGACTCCATGGCAGTTTGGTTTTGGTTTTGTAGTCAGAGAGCTTTTCAAGACCCTATGCTGATCTAAAGACCCTCTGAGTGCCCATTTAAGGCGGTCTGGTGGCACTGGTTAAAGCATTGGGCTGCTAACTAAAATATCAGTGGTTTGAACCTACCAGCTGCTCCCCAGGAGAAAAATGAAGCAGTCTGTTTTTGTAAATATTGACACCTTGGAAACCTTATGGGGCAGTTCTGCTCTGTCCGATAGGATCACTATTATTTGGAAGCAGCTCTGGGGCAGTGGATTGGTGTTGGTCTGGAGTGCCCAGTTACTCGTTCCTGTGCCAGCAGCGTATTGTTCAACTCTTTTATCTTTACCAGTCTGATAGTAAAAAAAAAAAAAAACAACAAAATGAGTTGGACATCTGTAGCAACTGGGATGGGGCAGGTCTTTCTGCCCGGCAGCTTTCCTTCCTGGGTTTACTGAGTTAATGTCTTCAAGCCAGGCAGCCTGGATCACCACTTGCTTCATGAAGCTGTGGGGTGGGTGAGGGGGTGATTAAAGTGGGAATTCTGAAGGTAAAGGAACAAAGTATGACATTGCTGTCACTACTAAAGGTTGGCGCTGATTCTGCAGGCCATTATTGCCCCCTTGTACCCTCTCCCTTTTCCTTGGTCTATGCAACCAGTGTCAGCTTGCTGGTATAGCCACCTGGCAGTTTGAATTGGTTCATCAAGCCTGTGCACACAATCATGGTCAGTTAAGTGTATATTTAATACAATAAATACAAAGCAGCCAATTCTTTTTATCACTGTAAAGCAAATAATGGCAACATCAGAGCCAGATACGTATTTTCTAAGTGCCTCCTGGCCTCACTCTTACACTAGTAACCTTTCCCTAGCTTCATTTTAGTTTTCCCTTTTCCTGAGTTTTAGTTTGCCATGACTGCCTTATCTGTTTATCTTGTGTGTATATTTTTGTAAGCAGCTTCAAATCTCCTTGGGAAGCAAATGCAGAGTATAGATCAACAAATAATAAAAATTAGAACAAAGGAAAGGGAAAATAAAAGTTGAAAAACTATGTCAGTGTCATTTGATTTGTAAGAGCTCTGCCTTTAGTGGTGACAAAGACAATGAGCATTTGTGTGGACTGTTCCCATTAGGATTAGAACAAAGTGCCCTCAGTAATGCCATGGTAATGTTTCTTCAACCACTCAGTAGACTTTTTAGGCCAAATTTGTACAATGCATGGGCCATGCATACATTCCTTTCGGTTTAGTTTCTTCTTGAATTTGTGGAATAATCTCAAGTAACCTTCCAGAAACCTAGCTTCACTCAGCAGCCCATCTTTATGTAGCAAGTCATCAAAATAAGAGGGTCTTTATGCCCTGTCTGTGAGGAAGGTCTGTGGCCACATCACTCTGCTTCAGCTGAGTTATAATTCAACCATTAGAACAGCTGAAATGAAGGAATGGCTAAGCAGTAGACTTTGAAAAGTGTCTGATGTATTTCAGCATGGAACTGTCCTAACACCTGTGGAGCAAACCATTTCTGCTTGTTTCTTTATATCAAGTTAGGCCCTATCTCTGATTCTTCTGCTAGGTTTCTTGTTGGCTTGACCTGTCTTTCCCTCTCTTGGCAGGTTGCTTGCACACATTTAGATGTGGATTTAGTCTGCATAACTGTAAAAGAGAAGCTACCATTTTACTTCAAAAGACCCCCTATTAATGTGGTGAGTATTAAACTTCTCATTGCATGTTTGAATGTATGGAAGCTTGCACTAACAATTTGGCACAAGGGCAGAAGAAACCAGTTTTCTTCTAGGGAAAAAGAAAGGCTAGGTAATGAGAGGCAGTTTTAGAACAGAGGGCTTTGTTTTTTGTAAGCCTGTCTACAAGGAGAATGAAGTGTAAACTATAAAATGTCCAGTAAATTATGGAGATTTGGGTTTTTTTGAAAGGCCTTAGAAAAGAAAATGTGTGGAGGATATTTCTGAAGAAGAGGGTAGCTGATAATGCTGGAGAGTAAAAGCCTGAACATGGACAAACCAAACAGAGCAGTAAAGAAAGAAGGAAAAAGAACATAGAGGGCTCCTGAGACACCGGTGAGCTGAGGAGGGACGGGAGAGCAGGACATGGAACCACCTTGCAGTGATGGGAAGTTAACCCTGCGCTACAGCACGCTGATTCCCTCAGAGATCCAGGGCTGTTCTTGTAATAGCCGAAGAGGGCGGCCATGGGTTTGGGGACTTTTTGTTCTTCCCTCTGCTAAGCCATCTTCCCTGTTGCTCTTTCACATAATTTTCTCTCCTCTCCGTCTTCTGTCTGTCATACCTCCTCGTAAGTCTCATTGCCCACCATTCCACACGAAGGCGACAGTATTTCATATCAGTAACTATTTTGGTAACTGTGAGGTCAGCACAGCTGTTAACTTTGCATCACTGTTAGGATGTCATTTGAGAACAGTGGCTTCCAAAACTCAGCCTTCCGTTTTCAGAAACTAACAGACACGTACAATACCCAATCCTGTCTGAATTGGAAAATTTAAATTGTATACATTTTTTTTTTTCAAAGTTGGTAATTCCTATTCTTGTCTCTGTAGAGCCATGTTGTTGTTGCTGTTGTTGTTATGTGCCGTCGAGTCGGACCTGACTCATAGCGACCCCTCCTTGGGTTTCCGAGGCAGCACCACTACTGAAGTAGATTGCCCCATCTTCCTTCCGAGGAGTGGCTGGTGGGTTTGAACCGCCAGCCTTCTGGTTAGCAGTCAAGTGCCTTAGCCACTACGCTACCAGAGCTCCCTATAGAGCCACAGTTTCCTCAATTTTTGTTTCTCTGGCTTTGCTGTTAGGAAGTTGACTTGATGTTGAGAATTGGAGGAAACAACGTGAGGGAAATTGATCTAAAGTCATATATTTAAAGGAAAAGCTATAAAACAGCTCTTTTCTGGTAAATAGTGAAAGTACTACTGAACATATAACAGTATTATTTATACTGAAATCATTGTGTTTCCACGTTCTTGCCAGTACTTATAAACAAACAAACAAATAATCCCAAGACATCGTATTTTAGAGTTTGAGACCTGTGTTCGATAGCTCATTTACTGAATGTGGAAAAATGAAGGCTTGTTCAGCTCTTGAGTCCCAGGTTTGGGACAAATTCCCTGTCAAATGACGTCTCTGATGTGCTACAGGTACCTGTGCTAAATGCCATAACCTAATAACAATATCCAAGCTTATGACAGTCTTGTTGACCTCACATGTTGTTCCTCCCCAGAGGTGGCAGCCTCTGTCTCCAGCAGTTTGCTAAGCTTACAGTCGGCCTCAAACTGCCAATCCAGGTTTTATTTAAATGACATCCTCTGAAGTTAGGCAGTGGAGTCATTCGCAGATCGTGGTTAGATTTAACAACCATTTTACCTTTCTCTTCCCCTTCATGAACTAGGAAAGACATTTTCTAGATGACTTTACCTGAATAAACCCACATGCAGTACTGTGTTTTTGGTTGGGAAGAGATAGTAGCACGTGATGCTAATGGCAAGGCCATGGAATGGACAGCTGTGCAAAGCACATTGTTCCTCATGCCTCATTGGTAAGATTCCCCATGGCTGTTTGAGGGCTTTCACTTGGGTTTCTCATGAACGTGCCTTACAGACTGTGAGTTTCTAGAGAGCACCGACTGTCATGGTCTTTGTTTTCATTACCCCAACATCTTATTATAATGTGTGTCGTCAAGTCAATCCTGACTCATAGCAGCCCTATCAGAGAGAGTAGAACTGCCCGATAGGGTTCCCCAGGCTGAAATCTTCACAGGAACAGATTGCTAGGTCTTTTCTTCCACAGAGCAGCTGGTAGATCCAGACTGCTAACCTTTTGGTTAACAGTCAAGTGTTTAACCATTGTGCCACCAGGGCTCCTCTTCCTGTAAAAGCCCTCCATACAATTTGCTTTTTGAATGATATATGTCTGTCTGAGCAGATCAGGGTGCGATTGGGAACCCGGCCAGAGTCTGCTGTGGTCCTTCATTGGCGAGTTGCCAACATTCAGCAGTAGGCATGTGCAGTGCGGGAAGTGGGGCACTTGGGCAGTGCGAGGAAGAGTGCTCAAGGCAGCGGCAGTCAGACAGCCCCCTCTCCCCCTGAGTCCATCCGCAAGTTCAGAAAAACTTCTGTTATTTGATGGATATTTTTGGCTTAATTCCCACGTATCTTAATTTAAGAATTCTGGAAGGTAAAAATTGACAAGTGAGAAGGATATGCAGTATTTAGCACAGTGTCTGCTTTTTTTTTTTTTTTCCCCTGGTGTGAACATTTTACATATGTTAATAAAAACTAGATGGTAGAGTGGGGGAAGAAGCTGAACAACACTATTTTTAGTCTCCATCTAGTATAGAAAGAAGTAGGCTGCAGTGTGAATTGGTCAGGAAGCAGAAAAGTCCTCATTCATTTATTCACCTACTTTTCATTTAAGAGAGAAATTTGGAAACATACAATAAAAGATGTCTAGCAGTGTATGTATTATTTGTAACAGAGTGTCGAATCTGGGTATGGAGCTGTATGTTTACATGAAGTATGGACATGTATTCACTGAGCTTAAAGCACAGGGACCCTAGTGGCACAGTGGTTAAGCACTCGGCTGCTAACCGAGAGGTCAGCTCTTAGAACCCAGCAGCTGCTCTCTGGAAGAAAGATGTGGCCGTCAGCTTTCATCATGTAGTGATTGTAGGTAACAGTTTAATCTCAAGTTTTCGTCCTCGCGTGCTGCCTTGGGCTTGAGGATAAACCTGTCTTTTGCCACGTGCAGTTGTGTTACTTTGGCTTTTCTGAGATCATTTTATTGGACACATGAGAAAACAGTACAGATCTTAACTTGTATAAGGTTTCCGCATTATGTGGTGATGAAAAACAGGAGTGTCAAGATAGGTAGTCTTTTACTTATGGGCCAGAAGCCACATGAGGATTATAGGCTCAGAAGGTTGGGAGTTTGAAGGAAAGCCCAGGAGGCAGAGCATTGCAAATCATTCCCCTTGTATAACTTAACATTTCTTGTCCATTTTGTCATCCTCACCACATTCATTGGGCACCATAATTTCAATTACATATTTCCCTCTCAAAACTCCTGCCACACTCTTCTGGGGCCTAGGTACTTGTATAGGCATCACACTCTATCATGGGATAGATGTGTTTCTAAAGAATTAGATGCAGCTCCATCTCTTGGATGATCAAATGACTTCTAATTATGTATCACTTTGTAGTTTAGCACTTTTCACATCTGTCGTAGCTCCTCAGCTTTGGGGAGCAGCCTGGGGATTGAGACTCAGATAGTCTGTGGGTCACACATAGTTAGACATCTCTCTCAGAAGGTTGATTTGGATTTCAGCCCTCTGGTTCCAAAGCTTTTTTTTTTTTTTTTAATGTTTTGTTGTGACTTAGGTTCAGGTTTACAAAGCACATTTGTTTTACTCTCAGCAGTTCATGCACATTTGGTTTCACAGTCCCGATTACAATCCCAACAATAAAAAGCTCTCCTGTCATTTTCCACATTGGGAAATGCTGTAGTTACAGTTATTTTACAGCAGAACTCTTTGATAAGCCAGAATAATTTCATATTTCAAAGCATGAGCTTTATGAATCTTAGGTTTTGAGAAAGATTATCTTAAAGCATAACATTTTCATTACCTTTCCTTTGATTTTCCTAAAAAAATAAAAAATGCATTCTTAGTTTGCTTTGATTTATGAATCATATGAACCTACATATTCAAGAGGAAAAAAAAAAAGATACACTAAAAGGGTGTCATCCTTTTGAATTCAGTAAAGAACCAACTTTTATGAAATTAAAGGGAATGTGTATATTGTCCCAGTAATTATCTCCCCATTTTTTGTTTCTTTTTCTTTCTCTAAAGCTTTGCTCAGCCCTTGAAATTTTATCATCAGTGTCTCTTGATTCAAGTGTCACACACCTGCTCTTGGTTTGCAACATTTTTGTAACTTATTTCTCATTAACAATGAAATCCGGTCATCCGCCCATTCAGAGCCTTTGGTCAAAGATGCAAACAAAAGCCAATCAGGCGGGCACTGTCACTCTTTATGAAGAGGTTCTTATGAACAATCATTTGATGAGCTTAAAGTAATTTGCGTTAAAATGATCTTAGATGCAGGGTCGTAGGTAATGAGTCTGTATTTTATCTATCTAAAAATTTATAATGTGTTAGGAAAGAAATACTTGCAACCTTCAGTAACACATTGCTTTTCATTTCCCTGTCTCCATTTTCTTAGCAGTGTGCAAGTGAACTTGATTAATGTACCATAGATCAAAATCATAACTTTTTTCTTAAAAGATAATTAAGTCGATAATTGTAATTTTTTCCTCCTCCCTCCCCACAAAAGGGGTTTTCATCTTGATCTGACCTCTACAAGTGGTTAGAAATTTAGATTCACTCCACTAAGAGTGTTTTGGGACCTGGCCATCCAGCTCAATATATCATCCACAGCTTTTATTTCCTTCTTCTACCTCCTACTGCCTTGTGTTTTAGTTCAGCAACTGGAGGGTTGAGGATAAGAAATATAAGTCAGCCTCTTTGTCTAATTAGTGGTTTTGGTAAGAGAAATAGCCAGGAAGATAGTTGCAAATATGGCTAACGGAATGTTTTCAGGTTCACCTAAGTTCCGTTAATGGTGGATAGTACATGGTGAACAGCATTATCACATGATACCTTTGTCTTTTCTGTAAGCTGTTTGCTTATTCATTCAAAACATAAATACATTACATACCTTTTGTATAAAAGACTGTTGTATATTGCAAGGAGGTGTCCTGATACCAGCTTCGGAGAGTACCCAAGTTAAGTGCAAAGAATGAAGTGTACATTTAACTACAGCAAGAAGAGTATCATAATCAATGTGATTACCAGAAGTAACACAAGTCAAAGAATTAGAGGTGGGAAAGGGTCCTTAGAAAAGGGGAGTAGAGAAGGTTGCAGTGTAGAAAGAGCATTAAAATTCTAACTAAACCAATAACAGAGAAGGTAGGAATGTCTAAAATATAGGAGATCTAAGGCAGGAAGAAAAGTTAAAGGGAAGAATTGGGGAGTAGAAGAACGAAAATACGTGTTCAGGAGGGGGAGGTAGAGGGAACTTCCTGGTACACCTCAATTAAATCAAGGTGGACTTCCGTTCTGGAAAAAGGCAAGCGTTTCCATTCCCGCTAAATGTTCAGGAGTGGACCTTTAGTAGTCCCAGCTTGTCCTCCGTTGGGTAATAGAATCTCATCTGTTGGGCAGAGTTGGACCTTTATGCCTCATGTGTGCCTCAAGTTCCTGTCTTTGTCCATTCAAAAGATCATTGCACCCATAGATTACAGACCTATGCAATTATCACCTGCATGCTAAAATCCTTCTGATGTTTCCTATTGCTGTTAGGATTCATCTCTGTCCCAGGCTAAAGACCTGCACCACTGCCCTTTCTCATCCTCCTTGGCCCTTGGCTCCTACCACAGGGCTTCCCCTTGTTGTCTGGCCTTCTCTACATGCAGCACGTGGTCCCTCCAAGCACAGAGAATTTCCACATGCTTTTCCCTCTGTCTGAAAATGCTCCTCCTTCCACTATTTAACTATTTTTCTTCTCTCACCCATCCCCCAGACTTCTTTTGAAAGCACTTACACAACAGTAGTTTTCAATTTTTTTATGATTACTTGATGGTCTCCCCCACTGAACTGTAAACCCTGAAAAGGTAAGCTCACCATTCCATGCATAGTGACCCTCCAAACATCTGCTGTGAGTGGAGCTACTGTGTCATTCATCAGGGAAGCTACATACAGTAGTGGTTGAGACTCACCTGATTTCAATTTCCTTTCCATCCCTACCAGGTGGTTTTCTTACCTGTAAAATGCTACACTGATGCCTACTTATTAAGAATGCCTTAAATAAGAAGAAGTTTCTTTTTCTCACATAAAAGAACAGTATCATTCTGCAGCTGAGCACAGTTGTCAGGGCATCTGCCATCTTTTCTCTTGGTCAGGCAGGAGCCCAAGATGAAAATCAGGGGCTCTATCACTAAGGAAAAAGTCCTGGCTGGAGCAAACGGTTAAGCACTCACCAACTAGCCAGAAGGTTGGTGGTTCCAGTCCACTTAGAGGCTTCTGGGAAGACAGGCCTGGTGATCTGCTCTGAGAAGGCTACAGCCTTAAGTGCCCCGTGGAGAGTTCTGCTCTGCACACGTGGCGTTGGTGTGATTTAGAATCCACTCAACAGCAATAACAACATTTATTACTAAAAAAAAGGGTAGAACCAATCTCAAGGGCGATCAGCAGATTCTGCTGTAATGCCTTATAAAGCTATTGTAAAGGTTCTCTAATACCTCAGCACAGCTCCAGGCACAGAGGCAGCACTGCACTGGCGGTGGCGGTTACTATTCCTTCATTCCGCAGACTGGGGTGATACATGACTTACCCGAGACATCTTCCCCACCTCCATTCTTGGGACTTTTTTAACTTTGTTTCTTTGTCTCTTTCTTTGTTCTTGGATCACATTACTTGGTTTAATGTGTTTGCACTATATTTACAGTTTACCCTAAGAATAGGGGGCAAGTCCCTGTTTTCCTTTTGATAGTTTATGGAGTAATAGCCCCTCTACCAACCCACTGGGACTTGGTTCTCCTTAGCCTCATCATAATTCCTGTTTATATAAAGTCACCTTCCCCACAGATAAGATAAACTCTGTTGATCAAACAGCCCCAGATCTGTTTTCCTCACCTTGTGGATGGTGCCATTTGGGCGTGAGTCCACTTTGTTTAAGGCTATACCTTGACATCCAGGAAATGGGCAATGGGCGGGGGTGCGGAATTGGAGGGAATTAGTGAAAATAAATTTAGACAGTGTGTGTTTATCCCCAGCGATTTATTTTCTTTATTTCCTGTGAAGGCGATTGACCGAGGCATAGGCTTTGAACTTGTCTACAGCCCTGCCATCAAAGACTCCACAACGAGAAGGTACACAATTTCCAGTGCCCTCAATTTGATGCAGGTCTGCAAAGGAAAGGTATGGTCCATAACTTTAGGACGTTTCTAAACTTAACAGTTCATTATTGTGAATAAACTGGAATTTCAAACCAATTCCTTATCCATAAAGTGGAAAGTTTTCAAGGCACAGAAACATACTCCCCCATGTTGATGAGCTTTTGCAAATTGTAAAGGAAGGGAAAATATTGAGGGAAGAATTATGTAAGGGGAGGAAAGATGTGGAAAAGCCATATTTTTCTAAGGAATTTGCAGTTTACCTACTGTGAAAAGAATAAATAGTCTAGATACCAGTTGTTTATCATCAGTGCGTTGAATTAAGGTTATGACCTTTTAAACTAATTCATCTTTCCTAAGATCAGTTGGGAGAACGTATTCTTATTTCTTATTAAAGGCTACCTTTACTACCTTTAGTTTGATACGTGATCTGCCATTCTTTCACTTTATTTATTTACCTTATCTTTGAAAGAAGTTGATATTTAAGCCTTAAATGTTAAAATGTGCTGTCTAGTTATTTATATTGTAAGACTTTGACTTTTTTTTCACATTCATATAAAATTAATATTGATCACTTTCTATTTTGTAGAACGTAATTATATCTAGTGGTGCAGAAGGGGTAAGTCTGACATTAAGTACTTTATTTTTGCTTTTCAAGTTAGGAAACTGAAAAATTTCTAGAAGAGAAATTATAGCAATGTAATGAATGTTTATTGGACATTTTCATTTTTAACTGCATTTGCTCATTGTAATTGTTGAACCGTAAAATCTATCCCCATTCCATTTGGGCTTGCAGTTTGTTTATGTAAATATTTTTTCTTTTATACTATTACAAAATGATTTTCAAGGTTCTTTTTTTGTGTATTTTCAAAAACTTGAGATATCTATCAAAATGTTAAATGTCTTAAAAATTCTGCAGTTGTCTATCTTGTTTTTGGATACTTAAGTATCCTGTTAATTTACTCCACATGAACTCATTAAAATGTTTTGATATCTCTCTTTTTTGATCATTTTATTTTAGCCTTTAGAAATAAGAGGGCCATATGATGTGGCAAACTTGTATCCTTTTCTGAGTTGGAATTTTCTTTTAGGAAATTTGGAGTTCAGTGTGGTATTAGAGTTAACAAAATATTTTTTTCAACATTTTACTGTGAATTTACTGATTAATAGCTTAAAAAAAACTACATCAGCTTGTGGAGAACATCTTTTTGTTTCTGGATTAAAGGTGAGATCAGAAAAGAGAAGTGAGGGACTCTGCTATAAAAACAGAGAGTTAAATGAGTCTCCTCTTAGATGCGGGTTCCTGTTGGGCTCAGAACTGTATGGAAGTAAAGTCTCTCTCTTAGTTTGACCAAGTGAACTGGCATGGTTATTTTGTTTGTGTGAGTCTCGTGTCCTTGGCTGACTCGGGGTTGAAATCCTTAATGACCCCACCAGAGGGTTGCTGTTTGGGCTGTCTGAAAGCGAGGCCAAGGCCGCGGTGTCCACCAACTGCAGAGCAGCACTTCTCCACGGAGGTGAGCTGTCCTTCCAATGAAAACATCAAATGTTCATGTTAGAAGCAAGTCCTTTTTAATCGTATAGGTGGACATACCTGCTTTTATTGTCCTGTCCTGTTAACTCCTTTTCGGGTCATCTTTTCTCAGCCTGTTTTAACTAAATCCCTCATTGCTTTCTCACCCTGCACTTCAGGCCTCACTTTCTGTCATTTGTAGAATAAATATAGTTGGTGTTGTATGTGGTCCTTCAAGCTATAGATAGCTGTGTGCCCCAGCTCACATTTTGAGAGGCTTCACATCTCCTTTCCTCTTCCTTCCTGTCCAGAGGAGCGTGCTTTCTCCATTGAAAATCACTGTTTTAGAGAATTGAAATGTTCAAATATGTGGTAATACATTTTTAAAACGCGGCTAACACTCAGGCCATAACTTTTTGCATATATTATAGCTCATCATGACTGTTTTCTAATTTATTCCTGTTTACATGTTTAAGAATACACAGATTGCCCGTTTTCAACTGACATTTTATTTTACACTAGTCTGCCTCTTTTTTTTTTT